TATGATGCGAAATATAACAAAACAGTTCTGGGCAATTTCTACTTACAGCGTTTCATATTTTAAGTATCTGCTTGTAAAGAATTCACAAAACTGCAAAAAATTTAAGTTTCGCAAAATTGCCGCTGACTTTCAAAATCAAATTCATGGTAGCTTTCTTATTGAAGAAATATCATTTTACAGATAGAGCAAAAAATAGAATAGAACAATATTAACGATATTATATAATAAATATTCCGATGGTAAATTTAATTAATTTATTTATAATTATTACGAAATATTTTGTTAGAAGTGAAAATAATTCGCTAATTAAAAAAATTTTTTTTTTATTTATTTAATTCTTCATAATTTTATTAATGTAATTAATGCCATGTGAAAACAAAAAACAAAAGAAACGTGAAACGAAAAAATATAAAACATTTTTTAACTCTTTTGTGTTGTAATTCTAAAAGAATATAAAACATATAACAATTGCCTATACTTATGCAATTTATGTGTGCTTATTATAATATACACGTGTATGAATATAGTAATTATACTTACTATAGAAATATTTGGAAGTTTAAATATTCATTAATGACGATAAATAAATTAAAAAAATTAAGGAATATTATAATCGCAGTTGATTAAATTCAGCACATTTTATGATAGTAAAAATTAAAAACAAAACTGAAATTAAATAAAACAAATCAAAAGTAAAGTAACAATATAATTTTTTCAAATTGTTTATTTTGTGCCGAATTACTCATGAAAGACTATAACAGCTCTGATAGTTATAGCATTCGATTTTCTTTGCTCGCCGTGTTTTAGAATATTTTTTATTTAAATTTGCAAAGAAATCAGACGGGCAGTGTGGAAGGGGAAATGCAAAATATTTTTTTAATTTGAGCTTTATTAAATTTAACGGTAAATTTATTATTTTACATGTGAACTTTAAAGTTTTATAGATAAAAAACATCTTTCATTGCCGCTTTTTTTAAAAACGAAATATTCTCTTTTTGATAAATGCGATTTTCAGCGGCGAAATGTCAGAATTCTTATAGAATACACGTATTAAAAGGTGACTGCCTAGAATTTAGTAAAATTACCGCAGACGGCTAGATATTGCCATATGTTTTACCACTGGCGTTTTGTTTTCACATTATCTGTACTTACATGTGTGTCATATTTATTATATTTATTATATTATGTGTGTTATATTATATTCAAAATACAATGCAGTTTATTTCGCCGTTCCACTGTTATTCTGCGTAAACAAATGAAATCGTCTGCCGTTACCGTTCACTGCTTTGGTTCAAATTTGATATTTTTACAATTCTGCTTCTAAACTCCATAAAGTTGTGTAAATATAAACTATGTAAACCAAATTTTAGCTTCTTTTTTATAAAACATATTTGTTTCAAAAGCAAAAATTACCAAAGCACCTTTTTCACTATTTTCCATTGAAGAGAAATGTGTTTTTAAGAGCGTTTAAGAGAAATGTGATTTTAGGCGAAGCATAAGTATATTTCGAGTATATTTTTTCAATTCACAAAATATAATTTTCTTAAAAATATTAAAAATTGCAAATCGAATTGATTTTTATTAAGTAAACCGAATAAGATGAATTAGTTATTTCTCCCGTAGTAGAACCAATTCAAACACATATATTGTGTTTACGTATAAGAAAGTATAAAAAATTAGAAAAAAAAATGTTTACGCCATAAGTATTGAATCGCAAAATTTACACACACTTAACATGAAATGTCATTCTTTTTTTTTGTTTTTTTATTCAAAATTTATTCCTTTAATCCTTTAAATGATTGATATGTTGTATACATCGATCTAATCTATTAACAGAGTGTTCACCACTAATATTTAGAATGATTAGGGTAATTAATAAGACGTGTATTCTAAATAAACACAAAAATAAAGTTGCTATAAATTGTGTTTGAAAAAAATTAAAAACTCACTTTATTTCAATTGATTCAAAGTTTTTAAACTATTCAGGATTCAATTTATTTAACACTAACATCACATTTTGTTATTACCTTTCTATTAGCATGCTATTATCTTCCGCCTTCATTCTTCATATCAAATTAAAATCTTATAAAACAAGTGAGTTTGTTTAATACATTTGGAAATTGAACTTATAAATATTGTTGTACGGGATTGTAAAAAATTATTCTCAAATATTTTAATAATTCTTGCAAAATTTTTAGATTTTGTATAAACAAAGCGTTAAACATGACACATCACTTTCCAACTTTTGATATAATAATAGTTTTCGAACATGTCACTTAATTTTGTCGCATACGAGAAATTTTCAAAATTTATAAGAAATTTTGTTATACACGTTTTACATATTAACCTCAAGGTATTTGAGCTTTCGTAATATTGTATTAAAAAATTCAGAATTTGAATTGCCTTTCGTCGTCCCTTTTTTAGATTTTTTTTTCATAAAATAATTGATAATTTACTATCGTTAGCGAATTTCGAATATAACGATCCATCTTCATTAGAGAATTGAAAAATTTTATATACACTTATGTTTAGTATTTTACAAAATGAAAATATGTAGTATAAGTAGGGTGTACAAATATTTGGAGGAAATAAAAACCACAAATTTTCTGAAAATATTTTATACTCGTATTTTTGATAACAAGAAAAATCCAAAAAACAAAAACAAAAAAAGGCAAAAACAACAAAATAAAGAAGAAAAACATTTGATTAATGTGGTGTACCAATGTCATTAACGTCAAAAATAAATTAGAGAGAAAAAAAAACACGCAAAATAATTTTTTGGGTCCTTTTCAATATGAATGCTTTAAATACATACACAATGTATGTACATAAGTATGTCCGCATGCATTAAAGTTTATTCTATTTTTTTTCATCAAATTCAAAATAAGTAAGAAAAAAAAGAAACAAAATTATAAACTAAAAAGGTTCTTGCTCAATTACTTTTTAACACATACCTATATGCAGTTATACTTCATCATTATTTTATGGTTGATTCAACAAACATACATACGTTATATATTTATATAAACACATAAATATAATCAGTACTTTCATATTTTAGGCCTAAAACAAAATAACATAAACACAACTTTATACATACATACATACATATGTACATACATATATAAAAAATATCAGAACTTGGAAATTTACTCTTAATTTATTGAAAAATTGAACTTTTTTGTTTTTGTATAGTTGCTATATTTGTAAAAAAATTTTGATAATATTAAAATTAATTATCACATTATAATGAATTTTTTATTTTTAATTAATAAAATCATTGCTAAATAAAAATTATAAATTAAAATGTCACAAACATATGACATTTGACATATTATTTATTTGAAGTGACAAAATAACAGTAATTTATAATCATCAAACATAATCTTGTCATTTACTTTTTTTTTTGTTTTTGTTCAGCTGAATATTGTGTGTCGGTATATCGAATATGTATATAGGTATGTATATATAGAAATGAAATTGAATGTAGGATGCTCAAATAGAACAAAATCTTGTTTGAATCTATCGGAGTTTTAATTAATTCTATAAATATTTGAATCTGGTCACAATCATATTAAATAACTGAAAAACTTTAAATAAAATCTATTCTTTCACAGATTATATACATACATACATACATACACATGTATGTAATAATTTTTTTGTCATTAATAATACCTAAAAACTTATTGCTAATTAAATAATTTTTAATTATGATTTTAATTATTACTATGTATAGTATATGTTTAAGGGTACTAAAAATATACTATACATTGTATTAATTATATGTACAGTAATTGCATTAAAGAATCCTATTCAAAGAAATTTTTCCAAAAATAATTAAACCAGATTATTCAATTCATTTATGTTCTTATGTGTAATTTATATTTAACATATGATATTTTTCACTTAACAAGTGTATGCCTGGAAATTATAGCAATTAAAAATAAAACAACCATATAGGGAATCTGCCACAACAAGTTTGCCTTGGCATTATCGGAGCACGTACATTTAAAGAAGCGCATTTCACAAAAATTAAAATCAACACTTCAATAAAACGTGCTGAAATACCAGAATAAGCAAAAACAAGTATCAATTGAAAATTTTTTAATAATCAATTTGGAAAAAGTATAATCGACCTAATGAAATAATTTTAGCAAAATGACCTCCTCCAGACAAATATATAACAATGAACGACCTCGTGAAAAATATTTCTATATATTCATACGTAATAGTTTAAAAATTTAAAAGTCTTATTAAAGCAGCATACAGACATAATACTGATATACGATTATTATGATGAAATCAAAGAAAGTATTCTTGAAACTATTAAAATAAGGCAGTTTAGAAAGTTAAGGAGCTAGCTTATTTATTGATGAATGAACCAGTTTTTGCTATTTTACTAAAAAAAATTTTTTGTTTTGCTTATTTGGTTGAGGTATAAAATATTTTTTAACTTTTCTCGGAGATTTTCGAAATTCTCAAGAACAAACATCTGCATTTTTGTATAATTTGGAAATAATTTGAAAATATATTGTGCTATAGGTCCACAGTAGATTTTCAAAAATGATTAATCCACTAGATGATAGGTCCACACTAGATTTTCTACTATTAATTTTTGATACTATATACTTTTTCTTGTTTATAAGGAAAGATCACCAGTACCCCATTATAATATTACATAACCGGTACTATTAATTGCATCAGATGTGGAATAACAACCACATTTCAATTTTTTCCCAAAAAATTAACATCAACGCAATATTAAGATATTATACCTTAAGCATTTATGCAATTTTAAAATCTGTTTTAATTAAAATTAAATTAAAATATTTGTAAAAACATATTTTTTTGAAGTAGTAGTATATTTAAAAGAAATTGCCCTAAAATCATTTTTTTTATTATTATGTAATAAATTATAGTAAAAAAAATTTGGATGTTTTTTTTATTTATTTTGTTTCCATAATGTTAATTATTCATAAAATAATTTTCAATTACAGATTCATGGCCTTTATCGTGGGTTTTATGTGACATTTATATTTCCTTAGATGTATTACTATGTACAGCTTCAATACTGAGTTTGTGTGCCATCAGTGTTGATAGGTAAGCTTTAATAAAAGAAAAAAAATTTCTCAAAAAATTAAAATAACTTGTAGGAATATTTTTTTTTAACCTTGATATTTAACATTTAAATATTTTAAAAAATTTCAATATTAAAATAAAAAATAAAATCAAGCTTCTACAACGTACTACTATGTCTACATCAACACATACTTTATACATTTCAATAGAATTATACACATACATACGCATAAACAATAATTACTGATTTATTTTTTATGAAAATTTTATGAATTTTTAATTCGTCAAAAATTAATTCTCTTGTGTTTTTGCTTATTTTTGTTAATATTATTTAGGTAATTTAAAAAAAAAAATTATTGAAAAAAAAATACAGCGCAACGAAATTTTTGACAATGTCAAAAAATCTCTTTTCTTAACAATAATCTAAAATTTAAGTGGAGCGCTATACTTTTCAAAAGAAAATTTCAAAAATGGTTCATTCAAATCACTCAAAGTGTAATACAGGCCATAATTATTAATTTTGGGAAGAGAGGTATTTTTGGGTTCCAATATGTCTATACGGTAAATAACTTTAAAATTTTAGAAAAAAAAAAACTTTATTCAAAATTTTTGCACTTTGGGATAAGAAGCACTACATTATGTTCAAATATACTTCGATAAAATTGCAAAAATAAAACGTGATCTCGGCTGAAGGGTGTAAGCAAAGATTGATAACCATAGGTACAACGTTAAATATTGAATAATTTTAAAAATTATGTAACATGTTTCTATAATTTGTAATATTAGAAATGTTAACTATTAAAATGCAATATGGCATTCTTGAATGCGTAAGGGACAAATGGAAATTTAATGTAATCACTTTGAAAAGATTTCTGAGTAAAAAATTTTCTAACTATATTGAATTAGATAATTAATTAAACATGTTTATATTAAGCGTGTTCTCAAAAATATAATTCTATTGAGAAGCTCGATAAAGCTTCTTAAAATAAGATTTGCATGTCGGAAAAATATGTTACCAAAAGTAGAAAAAAAAATTTTTCCATTGAAATAAAATACTTTTAATAAAATTTCTGTGAAGAAATAATTAAATTAACCCTATGTCTCATTTCAGCAACCTAAATTTTGCTGTAATTTTTTATGATAAAATAAATAAAAAGTCAACTTTATTTGTTTTGCAGAATTTAAAAATCGCCTTCGGTTATAAAAGAGACTATAACTTGCAAGAAACTTGTATTTTTATAATTTTAAGGTGTCAGTTACACATCATCGGATTCTATTTATACTAACACGTCAAATTTTTAAAAACGGCAATGCTTTTGATTTTCATAATCTATACACTGGCAGAAAGAAAAAACAAAAATCAGATGATCGTGGCACAACTTTTTTAAAAATTTATTCTCTGCCATTTTATTTTTAAAAATCTGACAGAAAATTTGATGATAATTGGATATGTTTCTGTATTTCATTAGACTTCGATTACACATTGGATTTTCATCAGACTCAGATTTTATAATAGATTAAATCTGATGTACGATTAAATTTTATGTGCAACGGGCACCTAAAGAAGAATTTTTTTTTTTTTAGCCCACGTGGACAAGTAGGTGAAACCATCCATGGGGAATGTGATGGTTTCGCTCACCTCAATACTCCCGGAATCCCACCGACATAAACACCCACCATCCCATGGTAGATCCAATCCGGAACCGCTCTTCGCCTTACTTCAGATTGGACCGTGCTGTTCTCTTTCGTTATGAAACGTATTTTCCTTCTTAATTCTCTTTTTAATTTTTACGCACTCTAAATTATGCCGCTTCTATCTCGTCTGCTTCCTTCATATATTTCAGCCTCTTCTTCTTGCGTAACACCACTTCTATGTATTTCGCTATTACGTACTAATTATCCTCGCTCTCAAGCATTCGGTCCACGATGTTCTCTGGAGTCATTGTTGCGATGGTTACTTCTAAGACTCGCCGTTTCGTTTCTGCAATGCTGCATTCGAAAAAAGTGTGGAAGACGGTGTCTTTCGCTGCATTACAGTGCTTGCATTCGGGGCTCTTCAACCTCCCCATCCTGTGTAGGTAGGCCCGAAAATATCCATGACCAGATAAAAACTGCGTGATATAAAAATTAACTTCGCCAAAGAAGAATTGCTAAAGAATCCATTTATAAACTTGCTAAATTTAAAATTGTAATAATTAGAAAATTTTTTTTAAGTATACAATTTGCAATATGTATTAACTATAAACAAAAAAAATGTGTAATGAACGGTGTTCGCCCAAAATAAAAACATTTATAATATATTTAATAACAATATAATAGAATATTAAATTTATGTATGCGACAACATATATTAAAGTTAATAAATTAAAACTTTGTTCCGAAATTAAATCACATATATTTTAAAGTATATATATACTTTATATAAATATATAATAATAACTTATATTACTATATAAAATATATAGTAATATATTATATATACTATATATATAGAATAATATATATATATATATATATATATAATATAGTATAATATATACTACATATAAGTAAATTATATATATACCTTTGTCATATTCCAAATAATTTTAAAAAACAGAAAACGAGAGAATTAGACGTGAGCTAACAAATGAGAATATAAAAAAGTGCTAAAAACAATATAAAATATTTCCATAGAATCACCTTTAAAAATCCTTCTTTTGATAATTTCATGAACTCATTTAATTTAATATTCTTATTTGCACATGTTTGGAGCTATAATACATACATATGTATGTATATATACATTGGTACTCAAAAGAATTCAAAAGAAAAAAGTGACAATGTAAAGAGTAAATATTACAAGAAAAACGAAAAAAAAAAATAAAAGAAAAGGATAATTAATTCTATGCTTAAAGCTAAATGGAAAAAATTTGACTTTATTTTATTTTTAAAAAATTGTGTTCACTTACATCACATTAAATTATTATTCGAGGCCTACATAATTATACAAACCTTTTTTCTTCACATATATACGAACCTGTACATATTTTATGCATAATATTTTTAAAAGATGAAATGGTGAAAGAAATAATTATTTTAAATGTTATACATTTATATATACAAGGAAAAAAGAACAAAATATAAATATGTGTGGCGGCCCACATAATTTCTAACAATTAATTTTAAAATTTGATCCATTTAAGGTAATTTTACTACAAAGTTCGTAATAATTTATTAAAATATTGCAAAATAAATTGAAAAATACGAATTCTTTACAAATTTATGATTTTTGGCTAAAAAGGATATATGTGACTTTACTGAAGAAATATTGGCACATAATATTTCGATATCACTTGCGAAATACATCAAAATTTTTCTCTATGAATTGAAAATATTAAATTACAAGAAAACACACATTGCATATCAATTTTGGAAGGTATGATATGTAATTCCAGTTAGAGGTTGACAAATTATAAAAATCGAATACGAGTATAACATGTATTATAATTTATATTAATTATTTTAAATTATATACTGATATATTTACTTCGAATGAAAATATTCGACAAGATTTTAAATATCAGATTTAAGATGACTACTTTTATGAAGATGACATTTTAATTTAAAAAAAAAAATTTATATCGTCTTTCCTTTAGACCGCAGGCTCTAGAAGTCAGAAATTTTAGTAGGTTTAAAACACTAAAAAATATTTCAGTTCGTTAGAAGAAAATTTTTTTCCCCCTTACCCCTTCTCAAGATATCACCTTTCTAATTTTGTAAATTTCAAATTTTGGGCAATATGTGTACGGGAAATGCCAAGCCAACATAAAAAATATTTTTTTTTCAACTGATGCAATTAATCCTTGTATTTGAATATTATATTGACGCCTCTCTAATTTTTTTTTTTATTTCAAAGATTGCTAACATTACTCATCTTAAATATATGCAATTTTTGAAGATATATGAACGAAAGTAATATAATGTAATCAATTACTTTTAAAAGTAGTATTTTCACCTGTTGAAGGGAATACTGCTACTTCACAAAACATTGGTTTGACTTCACAATTTTATTTAAGTCGATTTCAATCACTTTTTATTAGAGCTTTTATTTACCCAACAAGATTTGTCATGTTTTTTATTAGTTTATGTAATTCAATTAGTCCTACATATTTTACATATCTTTATATTGTCTTTGGTGTGTCCCTCACATTCAAGGCAAAGTTCACACATAAAATGTTGAAGCAATTACTGTTTTCACCAAAAACATTTTTATTTCATTATGTAAGCTATTCTTGTATACAATATTGAAGGTGTGCCACTTTTGATATAAGCAATATGTTCTCTTGTATATTATTTTTGCATCTCTATATGGTGATACTATTTTTTGCAAATTATTTTAACCAGCATAGTGTCCAAATCTCAAATAAGCCAATACTGTACGTACATATATACTTGTTACATTCCAACTATAAATGTACATATGTATGCATCTATATATATGTATGTTTTTTCTACGGAATTTTTTGATTGATGTTTCCTCTTCTTTTTCCAAAAGTAATTCCTTTCGTTTTCATTCTTTTGTCCTAAAGAGAATTTCAATTCGTTGAACTTATCCATAATTTTTGGTGATATAATAAAAATTAATATCATAAAAATGTGTTCGTTCACACTTGTAAGTCACCAATAGACAATTAACTAATTTAATTTAAACAAGATGAAAGATAAAATTACAAAATAAATGAATGTATGCCGTACATTGTGTCGTTGGGCATGTTGTTATTCATACTTTTTGTTGCTATTAATTTTTATCATTTTACTTATAACTCTTTGTTAAATTTTGTTCAAAAGCAACATGAGTAATTTTTTAAAGTTGTACATGTGCTGTCTAATTTATGTCATTTATATATTTTGTATTTTCATACAAAGCTATTCTGGGTAAACTCTTACAATATACTTTGTGACACTGTTTTTTTTTTTGCTTTTGTTTATTTTATATTTTTTTTATGTATGTAATTTATTTTTTTCTCAGTAATTGTATCGCTTTTGTTTAAATTTCTTTCTTTTTCAGTTTCATTTTATATGTTGGGTAAATTTCTGAAAATTTTTACTGAATATCTTAGTGACAGTCCATCTGTTCGTGTGTTATCATTATTCTTCTCCAAAAACATGGTCAGCTACGATGCTTTGTCATTTTAAAAAATATCGACTCTGTTAAGTTTAGTGCATAATTACTTCTTTATTCCTGCCTGGGATCAAGGTAGCAAAAATCTTGGCTTGGCTGCTGATTTTCAATGCTTGATTTAAAGCGGTTTTCTTGCTTAGCCAAGCGGTTTTGGTTAAATCTAAAATCTTGAATTATTACATTTGGTCTTATTTGATTTTATTTAAAAATTTTAAATTGTTATATTTGGTCATTTAATTAATTTAAATAACGATATATAAACGCCTCTCTTTCCAGTGTGGGTAATCCCTTTTGAAACAAAAAAGAGAAGAACATATAGGTAGTATTTAAGATTTTAAGAATATTTTGCAATAAAACAGTTTTAGAAACGTTTATTAAGAAACGAGTATTAGGAACCGGTTAGAAAAGTAAAGGATTTTTTTTGAAAAATAAAACTTCTTTTGTACTTGCGGACTAGTATTTTACTTTTCATTGAAAAACACGTGTACACACATTTAAAACTCTGTTGTATATATACAATACAAGTAAAATTTTTAGTTTTAAATAAGAGATTTCCTAAAATCATATAATCTTTCTTTGTTAATTTTATCTAAAATTTAAAATTAAAGAAATGAAAATATTTCTTTCAACCATAACTCCTAATAATTATTATTGAATGAGTTCAAATTTAAAAAATTAATGAAGCAACTCAATCGTAAATATAAATTTATCGACATCTATATCCTTGAATTATGATGGTGATTTGTAACGCATTAATATAACTCTAAGCCATTAAGATGAATTCTAATCCAATCATTGACTAATTTAAACAAATAATTTTAAAATACGCCTGCAATATTCTGTTTTGATAATGAAAACAGCTGCTATCAATTACATTCAATTCAATTTTAAAATAAATTTATTTTGTTTAAAACCCACTCAGATAAAGCCATTCATAACGACCTTAATATATAAGAAGTCCTTGTCGTTCCTTCAAAAAAAATCCTTCGAAAAGTTCGTAGAAATATAAATAAATGTTTATATACAGTTATTTTTCTTTTCACCGAAAAAAGAAAATGTTTCTTGTTACTATGCAAAAGTAAAATAGCAAACATTAAGAGAAATAATTAAAAATGTCATAAGTATATTATTTTTGTTTCTAGCTGGATGACATTTTCTTTTTCTAAAAATAATTTAGCCTTTAAAAGAAAAAAAAACTGTAATACAAAATTTATACAGAACTTTATGGTTTTATTAATATATAAAACAATTTAAATTTTAAGCAGTTTATAAGTTCAAAGATTGAGCAACCTTCATTTTAACTTTTTCTGTACAGCTTATATTACTGGTTACCAGATTTTGACACAGGTAAATGCGGATAAAAAATATAACAGATCAAAATAAAAGGACTTTATTTTTAGGAAAATTTAACATGTAATAAAAATTTTTAAAATCCGTTTAATAATAAACGATATAAGCATATAGTTCTAGGAGGCTTAATCTCTTCCTACATAACCTACGTCATCTTATTTAATTCGTTTTGTAATTATTTTCGAACTTCTGTTTCCTATGATTTATGAAATCATCTTCAAATAGGAGTATTACATGGCGTAAACTTCGCCATTAAATCGCTTATTGTATGGAAAAAGTATTAAAATCCCAAACTGTGAAAAAATAGGCCAACATTTTTTGTGTCAAAATAAAAATAATTTTGGTTATGTACAACAGCATCAAAACTGAATTACATAGCTGTATAAATGAAGAGCACAATATAATTTTGTGCCCAAGGAAAATTGGTTGTTAAGTTAAACATTTGTGTAACAGAACAGAGACATAATTTTGAACGGTTTTTGTACATTTATCTAAGTCATTAAAGATAAAAAAATGTTGGTATAAAATAACATTTGCAGTATTTTATTTCAATAACTTCTAAAACAGATCATGTAGCGCGATGATTTATATCCCAAATTGAAGCTCAGTTGACAAAGTTTCCAGCTGTGCTAATATTTGAGAAAGTTGTATTGTTACGTCACATAGAAAATTAACGTTTTTTTAAAAATGAAAAGTTAAAAGTTATTTCAATTTTTTCGAACTTTCAAGTTATTCTGAAATCTAAACAGATTATAACTGATATATAGCTATATATGAGAAGTCCCTTATTCTAAGGTTTCCAAATTATATTGAATAATGCGCCTGTATTATACAGGCACTGGGTTATACTTAAAATTTTAAAAAGTAAAGTCGAGATTTTAAGCTCCGGTAAACCCGTCCTGTTGAGTTGTGGACATGTTCTCCATACAAAAAATTTGCCTACTTATGGGGGTTTGCATAATGGTATATAGCAGTGCACCAGAAAACTTGTAGATATAATCATTTATTTTATAACTTTTATAATATAATTTAAATATGCAGTCTTTGGATAAACTTAATGCATCCAGAATATTTTCATATTTATGGAGGGAATAATGGTTGTTTCAATAAAAAAACAAAAATTTTAACATTTTTGTCACAAAAATAACAAAATTTTTTCATTATCATCTATTAAATAAATTAATAAATTTTATACAATTTAAATAGTCTGTAGTTTACGATTACGATTTTATTGTTAACAAATATTAATTTTTGTTATAAATGCCTTTTCTTTTAGGTATCTAGCTGTAACTCAACCGTTGACATACTCAAGGAAAAGAAGGTCAAAACGTTTGGCTCTTATAATGATTTTGATTGTATGGTTATTGGCTTTAGCAATAACTTGTCCTCCTATTTTGGGATGGTAAGTTTATACTTTATTTTTTATTTCATTTTGTATAATAAAATTTTTTATTTTAAATTTTCTAAATTATTACTCGTATTATTTAAAATATTTTAATAATTTTTTCTTAGAAATTTAAAAAAAAAATATTTTTGTATTTAAGTTTGTAATATTGTATTTTATAAATTTTTATGAAAGATACAAAAAAAAAAATATTTGCCTACGCATAGCAAATTTTATTGATCGAAAAAAGAAAAAGTAAAAAGTTTTCGTTTTTTCATATAACTGTTATTGATATACGGGGGAATTTTATTTAATATTACTTATCCGAAACAGGGAGAAATATAGAACACGTGTTTGTTTAAATTTTTTAAAATTTTGCAAAAATTATATTAAAAGAAATGTGAGAAGTTAAGTAAAACTTTTTATATAGGAATTCAATTGTTGACTCTTTTAAAGCATATTATCGATTATAGTACGTTTTAAAAGAGAATTTTGTTGGAGCAAATGTAAAACAAAGGCTTTGGCGAAAAAATTTTAAGGACCATGAAAATTATTACAATAAAACAAAGAAATTAATTAGAAATAGGTATACAAAAGAATTTATTATTCTAACATTATTAAGCTTTTAAATTTGATTCTGTAATTTTATAATCTAATACAAGATTATTAAATAAAGAAATTTTCTACTTCTTTCAATATTCTTTATTGTTAAATTTCATTTCTAGAAGAGTTTAAGAGGACTGATTTATAAGTTAATTTACTTTAATTATTTTACTTAAATTGTTGTTTAATAGTTAATTATTACTTTACTAAATTTAATAAATTACCATATAACATACATATTTCCTAATTCTTATCAGCCATTTTCATTCACACATGTCATAAAAATATTAATCAAGAGGGCGAGATAATGATTACATTCCCAATTTCTATACTTTGTGTTGTTACCTAACCAAACTCATTTTAGCTATTTATATATAACGTAATTATATATTTATTCAAAAATCTACGATATATAATTAAGATCAGTGATTAAGTAATTGAATTGAGAACAAATTTTAAGAAATAGAATAAAGTAAATTGATTTATATAAATTTCTTTTTTCGCTACTTTTGCTCATTCCATTGAAAATTTTATATAGCTTTTGTTTCCTTTGAAGACTTTGACAATAGAGAGTTTATATAAATACATTTTTTTTTCTAGTAACAATATATTTTAAAAATGTAAAAAAAAGGATAAGAATCCTTAAGGCAATATAATAAAGGAAAGAAAGAAAGAAAAAGGTTGTGTTTTAATGATATTTTAGTAATTTAAAATTTTTACAAAAAAAAAAAAATTTAATTTTAAATTATTTTTTTTTTTGGTATAAGAAATTTGAGTTAATGATTATCTTTAATCCCTTGTTTCCATATAAAATCATTTCTTTGAACTTTTATAAGATTTAAAAATCAAATTAAGATTATAAAGTATTTTTGTGTACTTTTAAGGATTTTTAAGAAAAATTAAAATTAATAATAGTATTTATTTTTATTAAATATACAAATGACATTGTTTACTTCAGTCAACTTACTCAAATTATTACAAACCAAACATTTACAATACTCATTTTTTTAATTCATAACAGAAATCGGATTAGAATTTCATTTAATTAAAAAAAAAAAGAAGTAAAATTTAATTTGAATTTTGTGACAGCAATAAATTATGTGGCGTTTTTGAATTAAAGAACATTTTTGTTCTCCTTTGTTCATTCCCGGCCAGAACATAGGGCTTCCACAAATCCTCTGAATCTAATTCCATTTTGGGCGAGGTACTCTACGTCTGACCTCTTTAAGTATAGTTCGTCGCCACGGCGCGTCCCCACTCTTCTTTTCCTATTGTGTGTTATGGTTTCCGAAGCGTGTGTCTCAGCCATTTCCATTTTCTTTCTTTTATGGCCACATTTATATAACTCTGGTGGGTTGTCGCCCACACATCGTTATTTGTAATCGTTCTGGGCCAGAATTTTTCATATTTCTGTGCGTCTCAGACATGCGTTGAATATTCTGAATTAAAAAACCATAATACCAAATTATAAATATAATAGAAAACCTACACTTTCAAATTATATTATTCAGTTATATCAAAAAACCAAATGTATAAGTTTTTGTTATAGTATTAAAAGCAAAACAGATTCCAAGAACAGTTTTGTAAAGAAATTGTTTCATTTCTACCAAGGACGAATACTATTGTAATTGTAACTAATAAAGATATAATATGAAATTTTTAAATATGTATCCAATTATATTTTCCATAGGTTTCGGAAATTTTAATGGAATGTCTGCCATATAACATGATGGAATGTCTAAAAGCTAATTTTAAATATTCGAAAAAATAATAAAGTTAGATTTATGAGACTTGGCAGTCATGTATCCAATTATAGATTACACGTAATCCTAGAAGTTTTTATGGAACGGCTTGATAGATTCGAGTTGCTACCATACAACCATTACAGTTAATTCTAAATAATTAAAAAAAAAAGGTTTTATGCCCAGTTAGTCAAGGTGTCGAGTATAATTTAGTGGCTTTATTCTGAATAAAACATATTTTCATTTGTTAATATCTTAAATCGAAACTTTAAAGTATACAGTGAAAATATTGGCTATAATCTCAAAAACTTTATTTGTTATAATCATAAATATTCGAGCATATTGTACGTAAAATAAATTATCGAGTAATTCCAAAAATATTTATTTGAAAAATGAAATAAATATAAAATCTTAACAATTTTACAGTTATGAAAAATAAAGATAAAAATAAATTTTTCTTTTTTTTTTTTTTAAATAAATAAAATATAATATTTATTGCATCCTTATATGGGGTTAAATAGATCTTTATACCTCTCATGAATTACATATTATATAAAGTACTATACTTATATGAATAAGATCCAACCCATAAATAAATTTAAAAAATATTCAACAATTTTCTATTTTAAATTATTTGTTCTTTTAAATTACACATATAAAATGATAATTTAGAAAATATAATATATTATAATCCCGCTCTAACAGCGACCAACTATAGAAGGTTATTTAAGAGATCATATAACAAATAATGTTCATGAAGAATGTATACACAATTACACAATAAAGTTCTGAACATAAGGTTATAACATTAAAAAATTTTTTGTTATTTCATCATGTATAATAAATGAAAATTTAATATACATCATTTAACATTTTTTAAATTCGACGAAAATGCAAAAAAAAACAAAAAATATAAAATATAAAAAGAAAAAAACATATCATTTCCTTTTCTTTAAAAACAATTTTCCATAATCATGTTTCCATATTCTTCTTGAGGACATGTGATTATATTTTTTTTTCTCTATATACCAGTGTTATTAAACTTTCCAATATAATTTATAAAAATGATTAATAATAATTTGTTGAATGACAAACACACCTTCTTTCGTCTAACTTAGATTATGAAAAGAGAAAATGAAATAGACTTCAAAAGGGCTTTGATCATAAATTAATTACTTATTTTTTTTGAAAAATTATTAATAGAATTTTTTTCAAAGCTGGAATCAATAACATTTTAATTTTAATAGGAGCGGAACTGTTTTAACAAAAATACGAATTTTGCTCAATAAATTAAAATTTTTAATATTTGAAAACTTTATTTTTATGTCCGAAAATTTATAAAACAGTAAAATAAAAGAGAACTCACCAAATTGACTCTTGAGATAGAGAAGTGGTTAAAATTTGATGCATAATATGACGAATGAATTTGTTTACCAAATTTTTTTTTTCATGGAATGGCAGCTTTGTACAATATTGGCATTATTTTTAATAAATAAAACAATTAGTTCTTAATATTTTTGACAAGTTTTTATAATTTCCCGTAATTGTCAAATCATTATTTTCGTTCGTCAGATTTCGCTATGCCAAATTCGTTATAAATAATACGAAATTGTCATATTTTTGTTGAATTCACGATATTTAAACATAAAAATAATTTAGATCACTCTTGCATTGTAAATTAATTACAGTGTTAATTTTTGAGCCTTGAAATTTAAAAATTTATAATTCAAGGCTCAAGAAATTCTAGTTATTTTCTATTTCAGCTATACATAAATTATAAAAATTCAAATTAAAGAGCTGGTTCTAAAGTAAGCTGGTTTTTGTGGAAGTTGTATAAGTTAATTTTTTCACATATTGCGATATTTTAGGGTTTGTATTTGAATCAATTTAAAAATATTGGCCATAATAACATAATTTGTTTATTCTATTTGTTTAAGTAGCATACAATTCTGTTGAAATTGTGATTGTAGTTGTGGAAAGAAGGTTTCTATAGATTATCAAAATTACCATTAACTTAGTCCTTTTAAAAAGTTGTCTCATACTACTTTCCAAAAAAAACAATATCTTATTAGATCGTTTTGCCGTCTCAGTAATAATTGAAAGAAAATTCTTCAAATCGAGAGAATAATGTTGATAAAGAATTTCTGTAAATTGAAAAATAAAATTTTACTCTCATAAATTACTTTGTTGATAAGAGATTTTGGGTAAAATGAAGTAATCTGCATACTAGAGATGAAGACTAGATGTTAAAGAAGTTAAAAAAAATTGTTTTTTTTTGAAGCAGTGACTCTGATGATCTTTTTGTATAATATAATATAGCTATTTTATTCTGGTACATTATCTCTATAAAGAATAATTTCGGATTTTGTTCATGCAATTAACGAGCAATTTAAAATGTTAATGTTTAAATGAAATACAAAGGAGCGTGATATTCTGTATATTCATAAGTTGTCTGCTTAATAATTTGTTAGTACGGTTTACAGGTCCTTTCTTTAAAATTTTTGTTTTAGTATATAATAAAAAGTTCGAAATCACTGATTTTTTTTTTGTTCGCTTAAAATTTTAAGCAAAATGTGTGTATGCTTGTGTATCTTTTGTTTTATTTGTTTACATTAACTTTCCCATATTGACATAACATTAGTCAAAAGAAATTGAGAACAAATTATATGATATGTTTAACATTTTGGTAACCTTAAACATGACACACATGAAGAACAATACTTATTACAATAAATCAAAAATGAAAAGAAAAAAAAAATAGAGAAAAAATTTATAAGGACTGTCGAACAAAACATATAAAAAAAAAACATTTGAATTTAATAGGTAAAATTAAACTTGAAAACAATAAAAACTCTTCTATAACCCTTGCCATTATAATATTATCATGTATACATTGTCCATATTAACCAACAATTTAGAATCTTAGAAGAAATAAACATTTTGACATTTCATTTATAGAAACTTTATCATAAAAAAAGAAATACAAAGAGATGTTACATGGGTGGAATCGCATTTTTTTTATTGTTATTCCTCACATATCCTTTTCCATTCGGGTCATAAAATTTTTTATATTCTAAAACAAAGGTTATATGAAGGAAACCTTATACAATGCTTAACTACTGCTTATTTCTTTTACAGACATTAAAATCATAATATTATATTTCAACTAGTTGAATTTAAGAAGATGAATTGCTGTCGTATATCCTGCGGTCTAAAACTTTTTTGTCATTTCATGTCAAAGCTTAATAATTTTGTGAAAAATAAAAATGAAAACAGCAACAGAAGAACATTAAAGAATGAAAAAATTTAACAAAATACTTTTTTTACCACTGATTCTTAATTCCAATAGCACCATGTCAGAAACATTGAATACTCGTACATTAAATTGTTGCACAGCTTTAAATAACAAAAATTTAAATGAAATAAATAAAAAAACTTCTTGTTTTAACATAAAACAATGAAATAAAAAAGGATTAGTTACGTCAATCAAAACGCAGAAATTGAAAAAATTTTCTTCTCAAATTGAACTCGAACCAGTAACCTAACGCTTTCTAGGCGAGCGCTCTACCAAATAAACTACAGAGATGCGAAAAAATGGTATTAGGCACACCGATTAAAAAATTTTCAAAAATGAAAATTAGACGTATTTTGTTTAAAAAATTTGGCAAAAAAATGAGGAGCTGTCTGTTAACTTAGAACGCAAGAACGCAATTTATTCAAAAATTTTAAAAACTATGTGAAACTGTCTGTCTATCTGTAAGCAGTTTTAAATTTCTCTTACTTACAATTAAGTGAATTAAAATTTGGTGAAAAATAATATTTAATTTTGGTTTGTAACTTTGGTTTGTTTGAAACTTTTTGCAATTTCAACATTTTACATAGATCAACTTTTCAAAAACCTTTTCTTTAAAATGTTTTTGAAAAGGTTTACGAAAAGAATTGTGGTCTCGTTACAACAAATAGTCCAAAAAAGGAATTTTTAAGGAAATTGGGGAGGTTTTAACTTTTAGAAATTGGGAGATAAGTAAAAAGTTTTTTCTACGCAGAAATAAGTTCTTACGAGTACTAAAGGCTCACTTGTGTGTAAAATTTCAGTTGTATTTCTATCTTAAAGTACGGACTTACGGAAGGACAGACGGTCAGAAGATTAAGCGAACGAATGGATGGACAAAATGAAGCTAGTAACAATTTTTTTTGTCAAATTTTGTTTGGGAAAAGTGCTAAAATGATTACTTAAACCTGAGTTAAATACCCAATTATGTTTTTATAAAATTGTTGATGTTTCTATATTATAACATAATACGCTCTCATATAAAAAAATTGAAAGTAAAAATATCATTTTATCTCATTCTAAATATTTTAGTCTAATTTGGATAATATGGATTCAAAAATTTAACGTAGAAGAGAGAAGATATTAATTTTGATGACAAATTCACTAATCTAATAACTTATTTCCAACACTAATAGTTCAACGGTAGGGTTAACAATGAAAGTAAATCTTAAAAAAAATCTTAAAAAAAAATAAAAAGAATGCCTGTGATTTGCCTTATAAAGGACATCCATGTGCAATACGTTACGTGTACTTCGTTGAAATTCTAACTCATTAAAAACTATTTGTTCCATGAATAAGACTACGCAGTGATTTGATTTCTTCTTCGCTTTAATTTCTCAATTCAATTTAATCTTATTCTTATTTTATTAACAAATCTTTTGATAAATTTTTTAAAAAATAACATTATGTCTGTAACAAAAAAACAAAATTTTTAACCCCGTATAGCACTTAAAATGTAAAAACAAAAATGTTTCACGTTTAGACGCTTATTGATCATGTATTTTTGTTTTTATCTCAAATTTATGACAAAAGAATGAGAAGCGTACTCATGTTATCAATCAAAATTTTTTTTTAAATTCAAATTCTCTTAATTTTGTTTCTCATCCTTTTATTTTGATCCTTCATTACTTTCATCAAAAATATATTAAAATAATATTCATAAATTAAAAACTTTTTCTTTTTATGTTCTTCTTATATTCCGTCTTCTTATATAAAATGTTGCTTCATAAACAACAATGGTAATAAACAAATGATGAAAAACATACAAAAAAAAAAAAAACAAAATTTTTTCTTTTAATCTGTTGATCATCCTGCCGATGACATTATCGTTATTCACGTATATAAATGTCCTTCAACCTTATAATCATTGTATATGGATGTTTATTGCATTTAATGGATTCTGAAATTATAATAAATGAAATGCTATCCTGCATGTTTACATAAAAAATGTTAATGTTCGATATTTTTGGAATTAAAAAAAAAAAATAAAAATATTTTTTAAAATACTTTGATTGCTGTTTGGGAATTGGGAATGCTTGTGTTTGCTTTGCAAATAAATCTCAACATAACAAAAAAAAAAGGTATGAACAAGGACGACGTGATTTAACATATTGCCGTTACAATCAAAATGAAGGATACGTTATATTCTCAGCAATGGGTTCATTCTTTATACCAATGACAGTAATGATTTATGTTTATGCAAGAATATCATGTGTTGTGGCGTCTCGACATGACAATATGACTGATATCATCAATAACAAGGTAAATTATTATTGTAATTATATATGTATGTAAACATTGCAATTTATATGATAATTACATGTGTGTGCAATATTTGCATAAAATATATAACATAAGCATAAATAACCATTTAGAATTTATTTTTGTTTTCAAAAATATTAGAGAAAAATCATTAATTAACTGGAATACAGAAATTGATTGAGATTTAAATTATTTATAGGGAAAATTTTAATTTTTTTCTTGAATTTAAAATTTGCATTTCAATTACTTCTTTAATCAACCAGAAAATTATAGAAAAATTATATAAATTAAATTATAAAATTTTTTACTTAATAAATCTCCAACATAATTAAAAAATCTAGAGTTTTAATTGAATTTTGGAATTTTTTACTATTAGCAACACAGAGATTAAGATTATTTTGAAAATGAATATTATATTTAAAATTAAAGCATAAACTGCTTGATTTTAGGAATGCTTGACTTAAAATGTGTGGACTTCAATAGCAAACTGAATTAAATTTGGTGTACTTTTCATCCTAAACACCTTTTTAGTTTAAATGCGTTTGAATGCTTTTTAAAGTATGACTGCTACAATTTAACACACTTAAAAAAATTAAATATAATATACGAATATATATACGAATTAAATATATTTGATAGCATGTAAAATGTCTAATTATAAAAAAAACAAAATTGCTGAATAACAAAATATTTGTTTTTTTCTTTCTTTCTAAATAAATATAGAAAGGAAAGAAGGTAATTACATTGGATACTGAAGCTGAAATTGATCAAATGTCATCAGAACAAGATGATAAAAGTCCTGCACAAAAAAAACAAACAGCAGCTAGAACATTATCAAGTCAAACGATATCACGTGACATTAATGATGTTATTTTAACAAGTGATTCAGATAATCCATCTCGTCATTTAAATACAAAAAATGGTAGCAGTTATGAATTAATACCAACATCAAGAACACCGTCCTTTAAACGTCAAACATCTGCATTATGTAGTTCAAAACATTATCATCAAACGACAACAACAATAACATCAGATAATCGAAGTTGTGCATCTGAATCATCAGAACAACATCAACAACATTTAAATCAACAGCAATCACAACAACAACAACAACAACAGCAACAACATCAAAAACATTGGGCTAATTATGGTCGACATAGTGTTCGTATGCAATTTGTTAAAAATACAACATTAATAATTGGTGGCGGTGAATCATATGTAACACGTAATACTCGAGTACATCATCAAAAATCTTTATCAAATCGTATAACATCATTAAATAAAGAAAATAAAACAACACAAACGTTAAGTATTGTTGTTGGTGGTTTTATTGTTTGTTGGCTACCATTTTTTCTCAATTATATAATTGCACCATTCCTTACAACAGAACAAAGACATCCATCACTTGATGAATTTTTAACATGGTTAGGTTGGTTTAATAGCGCTGTTAATCCATTTATTTATGCATTTTATAGTGTTGATTTTCGTGCAGCTTTTTGGCGTTTAACATTAAGACGTTGCTATAAAAATTCCGGAAAAAATCAATTTCCAAGTAATACAATGTCAATAAGGCGATAGTAAGTTTAAAAAAATATTAAAAGAAAAAAAAAAAATACTGTAATACTGTAATAAAAAAAGTAATTAAAAGATATTGAAACAAAAAAAATAAAGAATTATTTCAAGACATAAGAAATTAAAAGCAAGGAAAACATTATTTAAAAAAAAAAATGTAATAATGCTTACCTCAAATCCTTCCTTTAATTTTAGAAGAAAAAAAATACACTTAATTATTGTATGTTAGGTTAGAATTCATAATGTATATGGATAAATGTAACTGTACACATTCTATAAGGTATATTTAGTTTAAGTACTAAACTAATTTTAAAAAATAATAAATCATAAAAAAAAATTACTTATTGTTTGTACTGTTAAATATTTTTTTGGTAGCAATCATTTAAAGAAAAGTAAAAATTACCCCTGTAAATATGCAATATTAATTTTGATATTGTTTGAAAAATTAATATTCAAAAATTTTTTAAAGCAAAGAGTAATTTAGGAATTTGATAAGAGAGTCAGTAGGTAACATGCTCTGTTCAATATCGGAACGTTTCAGTTCGATTTAGTTTTGAAAATCGATACGTAATCATGAAAGTGTGAATGTTGGTTTTACATAATCTTATTTGTGTATGAATATAAAATGTAAGTATAAAAATTCCTATAAAACCCACAACATTTTAATGCTAACTAATCTAAAAATAATATTTTAAATTTATTATTATAAAGGTAACAACATTCACTCATGCAAAGTTGAAGAAGGTTAAATTGTTTCGTCCTTAAAATTTCGGCATTATTAATTTCAATACAAAAAAAAAAATAAAATTTAGCTTTCGTTTATCTTCAAATAATATTTTTTTAATTGATTTCCTTTTTTCTTTCATTTTTTAAGAAATTGAAATTTTAAGGTAAATTGTATATATAAATTTTATATAAATAACTTATTATATATATACTATAAGTATATATATATTATACTATAAGTTTTAATGAATTAATCATCAGTTTATAATGTTAGTGAAATCGTTTTGAATGCAGAAAAATATTTTCTAATTTGTTATTTACTACAAAATTATATTTTAGTGAGAACTTCATTTAGAACATAGAATTATGGTAAGCATTATAATATAGGTCTTTATAAACACAATATTAAATGTTGCGAATCAAATTTGTTCATAAACATTTCTTACTTATCAACAATATAGTAATATTATTTTGACTAGAGAAATTAAATAGATAAGTACAGCCAGATGTGTACTATTTTATTATTATACAATAAAAAATATACTGCGTATAGCAAGTTATCGTTTTACAGTATTCTATTGTACGTTACTACTTTACTGTCAGTGTGTTTGTTAGTTAATCAAAGTCAAAATGTTATAAAAATTCAAATTAAAGATCAACGATCCCTTTGAGGAACAAACTTTTTTTTTCCTATTATTTTAATAATGATCATTTTTGATTATTGTCATATCGAATGTCTTGTCAAATTGTCAAAATCAGAATTTCATGCTAGTCAGTGTAGTTTTGTTATTACTAAAGTATTCTAATCGTAATTTAATAATTATTCACGTATATTATTATGACAAAAAGTGTAGGTATTATGAATGTTTTTCTTATGTGTCTCTTATTCTTATTAGTGTGTCTCTACTTTTTATTCAGTGAATAAGAAAAGAGAAAACTAATGTTTGTATATGAGACAAAATCTAATATTAAATCTATAATAAAGTCAAATAGGTGTTAACAAAATCTAATGGTTTAAATTACTACTCAGAGTTTACGTCAAAATTTAAAAATTTGATATCTACGAATATTATAAAGAAATTAAAAATCAACTGTTATCGCTACTTAAAGTTTTCACAAAAAATTAATTGCCACCATTTTACTTTTTAAAAAATCTGACTGTAAATTTAATGAGTATAGAGTAATTTTTATTATTTTGCGTCAAAGTGTAATGTCAAACAGGGTTTGCATTAATCGCTTTAACTAGACTCATATGAAATAGTAGATTTCATTGCTTATGTAAACAGTAACTGTTATACATTATTAGCAGTAATATTGAAAATAGTATTATTAACAGTAATATAGAGAAAGTATAACATAATTTCACTCTTATCAAAATTATGTATGAATTCACCGAAAATTTAGTGGGTTATTCTTATTTTTGAAAGATTGTAATTTTTTACATTTTTTTTCAAATTTTTCAAAATAACTTATAAAAGTCTTGTATAAAAGTTTGAAAAAATTTAATACCTAACTAGTTTTTTTTTTATATTTTTTTTCTAAAATAATTGAATTTCAAAATAAATTTTGTATAAAATTGATTTGAAAACTCCAAAAAAAAAATTCTCTTTATAATTTTTCAATTCTACTTGACAAGCAGAAGAGAAAAATATTAAATTTTCCGGAATTTCTAAGTATTTTTTTTTTTTAAGAAATACCTTCACCACAATTAAACGACCGATATACCACAATTACAATAAGTATTCTTGTATATAAAAATAAATGTTCCGTATATATTTTAATCCTTTTAGGTATGTATGTATATGTGTTGTGTTTAATTACCTTAAAAAATAAAAAAATTATATTTACTTCCACTTTGTTTTACCAAAATGATTTGTACATAAAAAGATTTGAAGAATCATTCAAAATAAAATTATTTTTTTTTTTTGAAATTTTATTTAGCAACTTAATTAAGTCTGGCATATTAAAAGAACCAACAAAAAAAAAAAAATTATTAAATTTAAGATTGTTGTAAAAAAAAAATTTTTCTTTAAAATTTTCTTTAATAAACTTTTTTCTCAAAAAATTTTACTCTATGCTACCTACGAATAGAAAATTAATTCTATTCTCGTTTTCATATCTTATGTACTAAATAAGTAATTCGGCTACGTCAGAGAAAAGAAAATAAAGGAAAAAATTAAAAGAGGAAAAAAAAACAAAAAACTTTGACAAGGACATTTTTTTACTCTTCTTTTTTTAATAAATGAAAATTATCCTTACACATAAAATATATATATATATATATATATTTATGTATCCATGTATATACCAAATTACACATACACACGAGTATATGCAATGATTACAAAGAAATCATTCTTACATACATTAAAAGCCACAATTTAGTACAAAAAAAAAAAAAAAATATTTTCTTTTAGAAAAGAATGAAAAGCAGAAATTTAAGGACATTTTGATGCTCTTTCAATGAATGACACGACAAGCGACGTATTTATGACGATAAAAGAAACTAAAATAAAATTTGGCGATGCTTGTATATACATGGGAAATTACATTTTGAAATTTTATTTGTGCAGGACGGAAGGGTAATATTTTTATGCAAAATTATTTAGTAGAGTTTTTGGTGAAATTTTTTAAAAATTTTTCGGCAAACTATTTTGGAAAAAAAAAAAAGTTCTACTCTTTGAATTTCGAAGGTAATATGGACAGTCAGCAGAAACCTGAGGCTCTTACAGACTGATGCTATATAAATCTTTATAGCACGGTAAATTCAGACTATATAGAGCTTATTTGGAGTGTAGAGTACCTAATGCATACGAATATAACAAAAAATTATTTCTTTAAAATAAAATTTGAGTAGCCCACCATCCATTGAACTAATAAATACAAGCAAGTATTTGAAAAAATTAATGTTCAAAGGTAATTCGTGAATTCTTAGAATGCAGAATGGTTTGGATTTTTTTTTTGTTATAGACCACATTGACACACTTACTGTTATATTAAACAAATTTATAACTAATTTTCGGAGTAATTGTTCTCCTACACACACGATAACTATGAATAGAAATTAGATTTTCAAACAGTCAAATCTATACAATTAATATGGCCTTAAAAATAAATATTTTATTTGAGTGGAGCAAAATTTTTCTTTTATAAACCTCTTGAAATTGTTCATTGTACAAGTACAATATAAAAATAAAAGACATGATTTTTTTCCCCCTCCAAAATTATTACGCTACAGACATTTTATAATAAATTAAATAGAATCTTATTTTTGGCTCATACTCTACTATCATATATATATGGTAGTATATGTTAAATATATATATATATATATATATTTACGTCTATATATATATATATATATATATATATATAATATATATATACGTAGCACCAATGATATATTAAACATGATATTTACTTATATTATTATTACAATATAATATGAGAAGTGTACAATTTTAAATTGAATTCAAGACAGATGATACATATGATGCTTAAAACAAACATATGCATACATATACAGTTATTCATACATTTGCATGTATACAGCAAAAGGATATAAAAGACCAATTTAGACAAAATATTCTGTTTTTTATTACTTTTTAACTAAATTTAGCCTGAAGCATATATATAATAGTATGCATATATATATATATAAAAACAGAGAATTATATATACATATATAAAATTCTTTGTTTAACTATAACATTCCTTTTCATGAATAAAAGGAAGGATGCTTCTCTACAATATCTCTATATATATATATATATATATATATATATATAGTACAAAAATGAGAGGCTTTAATTTTATTTGTATTCACATATGGTACATATGGTAATTTTATTATATTATATATACTTTAAGAGTGAACACAGTAATTAAAAATTCCCCAAAAAAACTTATACATACATACATACATTTAATATATCAAAGATTTTTTGACATTCATACATTATGTATGTGCATTACAACAATTTTTTTTTTTGTTTTGTTTGTTCTGAATAAGGAACAGACTTTTATCTATTATAATTGAATGAAATATACTAAAAAATAAGAATAAATGAATAATATGGGTTAAGGTCTTTCAGCAAAGAGACTATTAAGTATTAGAAAAAAAAAAGTTTACAACATGAAATTCGCATTTAAAAATCTTTTCAAAACAATGGAGAAACTATAACATATTCAATTTCTATGATATTAAATTTAGTTAAAAAATATATGATTCTTTAATAAGTAAATTATACAAATTTCTGTTATAAATTTTAAAACTTGTCTATTATACCCATATACCGGGACCAGCTCAATTAGATAATCATAATTTTTAATTATTGAAATACTTAATT